AAAAAAAAAAAACAGGGAAGAAGGTTTCTTTCAGAAAAGTATTTAGGGAAGTAATCAAAATATATGGACGAGTTAAATTTTCAGTGCTCATCCTAAACATGGTAAAATTATCAACTGAGAAATAAAATATTCTGCAAACCATGTTACGCACATATAAAATTTTCTTGAAGCCCTATCAAATAATTTCAAAACAAGTGTGTTTCTTCCTCCAATGTATTAGTTTCAGACTCCACTGGGTGGTCTATTTCTAATCCTAGAAAAAACATGCCATCAAGGCTCCAGATGATAACATTTGTTTCAGACTCTGTACTGACCCTCTGATGTCCTGGCCTGCCCTTATTTGGAATCAACTTTCTTTCTTCTCTTCCTTGTATGTATATATTGGTAAAAAGAACTTGCTGTCAGTCTCTTTCCTTTCTATTAATTACTGTTATTAAAGCATCAAAGCTTTGAGAAGTGGAATTTTTTTTGCTTAAGACAAGTAGCAGGTAAATTTGTCTCCTGAGATTAATATAGACTCTAAATAAACATACTGTTTCACAGACTAGGATTTTCCAAAATGTTCTGAAAGAACAGCTGAAATGCATCAGATAGACTTGTCCATCAAATATACCTATGTTATTTTAGAGAGCTTAATCTATTTCACAAATAACCTATTCTAAGTGACACCTACAACTAATCATTAACAATTCATTCTAATATTGCTAAGTTATCACTCTGTAGGCACAGCACAATTTTCACTAGTGAGGTTTGATAACAGTTTTTTAGCATTTAATATCATACAGTTACATTTTGTTCATTTAAGTAATACATAATGACCACTTAGGAATAGAAGGGAACCTGGATACTTTCCTTTAGAAAAATTATGAACCCAGACATAGCCAATTAGAAACAACATCTATCCTACATACACATTTGTACATGTGGGAAATGACAAATGCACACTACTATTCATTACAGCAGAGTTTTTAATTATTGAAGATTGTAAACTAGCCATATGTCAATTCATGTGAGATGGATTATACAAATTATGCTACATCTACAAAAAGAAATGCTGTGTAGCTGTTAGAAAGATTAAGGAAGCTCTCTAACGACAGGAAAAGATTTGAGGTACAATGTTAAAGGAGAGAGGCTTTACTATGGACATTTTTATTGTTGGTTTCTGAACTACATGAATATATTGCTATTAACCTTTTTTTTTTCATTTGTGTTTTTTCTGTTTTCTAGAGACAAGGTCTTGCCATCTTGCCCAGGCTGGTCTTGAACTTCTGGGTTCGAGCACTCCTCCTGCCTTGGCCTCTCAAAGTGCTAGGATTACTGGTGTCAGCCACTGTACCTGGCCAACTTTTTTAAAGAAAAGAAATCTCAATAATTTTAAGAATTGAATTTGTTTCTTTTCTCCTATCTTTTGGGGTTGGTAAAACAATATCAATATTGATGAGATGATGGCTACAAGTACCCATGCTCTGGTTCTCCTCGTCTTGGTCAATAAAAACGTGATCCATCACAAAACTGAGGAGTTCAGACTGGAGTCCAGTATCTGGATTAAACACCAAAGGCTGAAGGCCCTCTCTGCCACCTGTCATTAACTGGTGGCTGAAAATCATCAGAAGATCACAGAGTAACATGAAAGCCTGGAATACAAAGGCAATTCATCAGCAAAATATTATACCAATATGACTACAAGTCAACATTAATGAAAACACATGAAATTAAAACATAGTTCAATAGCAGTACCATAATACAAATTTTAAGTATTTAAATTCTAAATATTTAGTTATGATTTCCAAATTTAATAAAATTACTTTTTCTCATTAAACACTTGTCATATTTAAGCCTTTTCTTAAATACAATGTATTTATTTTACTTGGCTGTATCAACTCAAAAACAGCTCATTAAGTAGTTTGACTTGAACTTTTAAAAAAATCATTTAAGCAAGGTGTTGATTACAGGTCAAAAGAACAAAATAAGTTTAACTCTGGACATACAAAATTGATATAACAAAGATTAGAAATCAATTATATACTGTTTAATCAAATTAGCATAAATTTTGAAACTGTAATTCAACATAGTATAATGAAATACTTCTAAAATTTCTGATGTTAAAAAATTCTAATACAGTCAATGTATTCTAATACAGTCAACTGTATTATAATACAACACACTGTTGTTTCTGTCAACAATGGACTGCATATACATGATGGTAGATCCCACAAACTTGTAATGGAGCTGAAAAATTCCTATCACCTAGTGATGTGGTAGCTACATAACCCTGTGGTACAACACATTACTCATGAATTTGCTGTGATGCTGTTAGTGGTGATGCCAGTCATATAATAGTATAGCATACACAACTTGTGTATAGAACCTAATGTTTGAGGATAATGAAAGACTATGTTATTGACATATGTATTACTATCCTATCCTTTTAAATGTTTTTTTTTGAGACGGAGTCTCCCTCTGTTGCCCAGACTGGAGTGCAGTGGTGTGATCTCAGCTACTGCAATCTCCATCTCCCTGGTTCAAGTGATTCTCCTGCCTCAGCCTCCCGAGTAGCTGAGGTTATAGGCACGCATCACCACGCCCAGCTAATTTTTTGTATTTTTAGTAGAGATGGGGTTTCACCATGTTGGCCAGAATGGTCTCAAACTCCTGACCTCAGGTGACCAACCTGCCTTGGCCTCCCAAAGTGCTGGGATTATAGGCATGAGCCACCGTGCCCAGCCTATACTATACTTTTAATCATAATTGTAGAGTGTACTCCTATTTATGAAAAAAGTTAACTGTGGAACATCCTAGGCAGGTCCTTCAGGAGAAGGCATTGTTATCATAGGATATGACAGCTCCATGCAAAATACTGAGACTGAAGACCTTCCAGTGAGACATGTGGGAGGAAGAAGACACTGATACTGATAATTCTGACACCTTGTAGGCCTAGGTTAATATGTGTGTTTCTTTCTTTCTTTCTTTTTTTTTTTTTTTTGGAGACAAAGTCCAGCTGACGCCCAGGCTGGAGTGTAGTGGCAGGGTCTTGGCTCACTGCAACCTCTACCTTCCGAGTTCAAACAATGCTCCTGCCTCAGCCTCCAGAGTAGCCAGGACTACAGGCGCATGCCATCATGCTCGGCTAATTTTTTTTTGTATTTTTCGTAGAGATGGGGTTTCAGCACATTGGTTTCAGCACACTAGTCTCGATCTCCTGACCTCGTGATCCGCCCACCTCAGCCTCCCAAAGTGCTGGCATCACAGGCGTGAGACATGCACCCAGCCTGTTTCTTATTTTTTTTTTAACAAAAATGTTTTTTGATTTAAAAACTATCACTTTGAGAGACCAAGGTAGGGGGGATTTCTTGAGGCCAGGAGTTCGAGACTAGCTTGGCCAACATGGTAAAACTCCGTCTCTACTAAAAAATACAAAAATTAGGTAGGCATGGTATCCACACACCTATAATCCCAACTACGCTAAAGGCTGAGGCAGGAGAATTGCTTGAGCCCGGGAGGCAGAGGTTGCAGTGGGCCGAGATGGCACCACTGCCTTCTAGCCTGGGTGACAGAGTGAGACTCTGTCTTAAAAAATAAAGAAATAGAGAAAAGCTTCTAGAATAAAGACATAAGAAAAAAACATTTTTGTAAGCTGTTTAATGTGTTTGTTTGTTAGATATTACAAAAGAGCTTAAAAGTTAAAATTAAAGTTTATAAAGCAAAATAATTACAGTATAAGGTTAATTTATTATTGAAGAAAAATTTAATTAATTTTAATTAATTTAGTGTAGTCTAAGTGTATGGTATATATAGTGTCTACAGTGGTGTACAGTAATGTCTTAGGCCTTCCTATTCACTCACCACTCACTGTCTCTCTTTCTCTTTCTCTCTCTCTCATTCACTCACTTACAGCTACTTCTAGTCCTGCAAGTTCCATTCATGGTAAGTGTATCATTTTAAAATATTTTATGCTGTATTTTAGATATGTTTAGATATATAAATACTTACTATTTGTATTATAATTATCTACAGTATTCAGTATAGTATTATGCAGTACAGGTTCATAGCTGAAGAGGAATAGGCTATACCATATAGCATAGGCATGTGGTAGGCTACACCATATAGCATAGGCATGTGGTAGGCTACACCATATAGCATAGGCATGTGGTAGGCTACACCATATAGCATAGGCATGTGGTAGGCAATACCATCTGTCTATGTAAATATACTCTATGACGATCACACAACGATAAAATTGCCTAACAACACATTTTTCAGAATGTTCTCTATATCCCTGTTGTTAAGTGGTACATGACTGTAGTAGAAAACTATTAATATAAAAACCAGTATCTATCTTTAGGTGTGGATCTGAAGGATAAAAAACAAAACAAACAAAAACAAAACAAGAAAAAAAAAACCAGTATCTAATAAAGCCTCCAAAAAATTTAATTATATAAAGAAACTTTCAACACATTTGTACACATTATAGGTATGGTGACAAATTTGTCCTATTTAATAGATTGAGTGAAATAAACAGGTCTGATCAGTTTATTACAATGGAAAGATTTTGTTGTGGGATAATTGAGGGCTCTGATACCTCTAAACCTTCCACTAACACTGCCCCTCCAAAGTTTACATCTATGGGAAAACACAATTTTGATATTTAGTTTGGGATGACTGTATATCTGGCTGTCCATCTGCAACAAGAGTCTTGGCAGTTCATGCCCTGACAGCACAACCATGAAATATATACTAAGATATTTAGAAAGAGCCGTTTGAAAAGAGGGGAGCATAAAGAGAATCCAGGGGGAATATTTTTTAACCAGCTGGCCATAGTTCTGGACATCACCAAGCAGGTCTGAGGCAGAAACACTGGATTTGGGGTTTAAATGGCAGAGCTGGGCCAGGTGTGGTGGCTCAAGCCTATAATCCCAACACTTTGGGAGGCTGAGGCAGGCAGATCACAAGGTCAGGAGTTTGAGACTAGCCTGGTGAAACTCGTCTCTATTAAAAATACAAAAATATTAGCTGGGCGTGGTGGCAAGTGCCCGTAATCCCAGCTACTCGGGAGGCTGAGACAGGAGAATCACTTGAACTCAGGAGGTGGAGGCTGCAGTGAGCCAAGATCGTGCCACTGCACTTCAGTCCAGGCAACGGTGCAAGACTCTGTCTCAAAAAAAATAAAAATAAAATAAAAAAATAAAATAAATGGCAGAGCTTGGTATTTCTACACAGCATAAGTGTTCTGAAGACTTAAAGAGTAAGGTTTAGGGAAGACCATCTCTGTTTCCATTTTAAGTTAAATGCTGATAACTCAATAACAGATTTGTGACTATTTGTAAGAAGAGATAGCAAAGGATAATACTGTACCCTTTCACCAGACTGACTCTAACCCAATATCAAAATAAGAAATAGTATGGAAAATATGCATTGTTTTATACAAATGTGCTCCCCAATACAACAGTCTAATTTAAAAAACAGTTTACAAAATCACATAATGGAAACAGTACTTCCTTAGCTCACCCTGACCCTCTTTGGGCTGTGCCCCTCTACAAGACATGAGGAATCTACTGGACAAATGGGATATGCCCACCTGCTTACCAAACCCCCTTCCACATCATTGTCCGGGTATAGGGACTCAGGAATTCCTTGCCCTAACAGTCCTGATACTGTTGTCTGGGCCTGCAAAGGCCTCTTCTCTAGGCATACTACATCCCCAATGCACATATTACTAGGCCCCTGGGTGGTCAATGGGCAGCTGTTTGGGTGGGTGGTATTGACAGAGTTTCAATATGTGGGCTGAAGTGTTCGAATGTATGTGTCAGAAACTCTAACTGGGGTGGGAAGGAGCTGAAGGTAAGATGATAAAAGGGTATGCCATAGATCAGCTCCCTAGACCTTCAATATTCTGGTGTAGAATTCTTAGGAGTCAAAAAGTCTAAATTTCAACCTGCCCTTCCAGCTGATGACAATATACTTGTAAAAGTAAAATGACAGAATATATATTATATAACAAGTTTGTTAGCTTGCTTTATAACATAAATATTCACACATCTATAGTCTTGTTCCAGGTCCAGTAAATGTTAGGAATGAACATGTATACTAAGAACTGCCATCAAAAATTGTATCTTCTTAATGTTCATTAATGTATTTGAGTTGTTTTTATTGAGAGCTCTTAGTGGTAATTTCTTACCTGTTCTTTCACTGGAGTATTAACATTAGACAGGCACTGCTGGCAAACAGCCAAAAAGGATTTCACCGTTTTCCTCAATACCAACAAATCCTCCTGTAAGACACATTGAAATTTGCAAGCATGAATTACAGGACCAGAAAACTGATAGAGAAGAAACAATACATGGAAAACAAGAAACTGGTTTATTCTCAAGGAAATTCATATAAGAAAATTTAATGTTGAGAACCACAATGTAGTCATTTCTTAGTTATGTGTTGTAATAGAAAGGACAGTGATACGGACACTCTAAAAGTTATATTTAGCTATGGAATACTTAGTATGATTGCTCCCAACAGATTTCCTTTATAAATATAGTTTACTTAGGTTGACTGAAATTGTTAGTCATTCCTGTGACACACATTACTGCTAGTAAAGTGAGGGAGCACAGCAGCACACTAAAAAAACTCAATTAGGCAACAAATGTGTACTGAATTTCTCTTATAGCTCGGCACTCTGCGAAATGTCAGGGGAAGAAATATAAATTTAAGACAGTGCCATGCCCTTAAATAGTGAACATTCAGGAAGACAGACCAATTACAGAAAAGAAGTGTTCACAGTTATTGTATTAACTCTAACTGTAGCAAAGTCGGAGAAACCTTCACAGGAGGATGGGCCTTAACCTAAGGTTGGATGGGTAAACAGATTTAATTAGATGGCCAGATAAGATTCCATAAGGAACATTTGCAAAGTGCAAAAGGAAATTTCAAGTCGGGTGCAGTGGCTCATGCCTGTAATCACAGCTTTGGGAGACCCAGTGGCAGGACTGCTTGAATCCAAGAGTTTGAGACCAGCATGGGCAACACAGAAAATTGGCTGGGCATGGTGAAGCATGCCTGTAGTCCCAGTTACTGGGGACGCTGAGGCAGGAAGATCACTTGAGCCCATGGGGTTGAGGCTGAAGTGAGACAATTTTGCCACCACATTCCAGCCTGGGTGACAGAGTAAGACCCTGTCTAAAAAATTTCTTAAATTTATCGAGTGCCTACAACCCATCAGGCACTGGTTTAAGGGCTTACTATTATATAGTTTAATATTTATGTAGATCCTAAGAAATAGTAATTATTAACAAGGGTTTGAAATGAGGACTATCTGATACAAGAGCTCATATTCTTCTGACTAATAAGTAAGGCACATACAGATATCAACGTTTAAAACAGTAATAAAGAAAACTAAAACTCTTTAAGCTACCCTATTTTATACAGATGACAGCACTTATTCTTTTTTGGGATTGTCACATCCCAAATAATGACACTTCAACAATTACATACATATTTTCATTTGCTAACATGAGCATAGCATGTGGAAGGGGCGAGTTCATCTTGTGCAGAGCAGTAAAAAGGACACCCTTGAGAATTTTTCATGTTTCTGCAGATGAATATCTAATAAGTAAACTTCAACATTCCTGAAACTTCTTTACATTTAAACATTCACAATATATTGAGAAAAACAGATGAGGGAACAGGCAATTGCAATAAAGCGTTAAGGAGTACTATGGTAGAAGTGCTGGGATTACAGGCGTGAGCCATCGTGCCAGGCCAGGAATAATTTAGAATGAGGGCCTGAAAATAAAATGTTGGCTCTAAAGATGTGACTAGATGAAAGATAAAGCAGTAGAATTAACAGAATTTAGGGAGTAATTGGGTAGAGGCTGTTGATTATTATGCCTTAATTTCTAGGTAGCTGCCTACTAGGATCAATTGGTATAAGTCATCAACATAAGCACAGAAACAGGCCGGGCGCGGTGGCTCAAGACTGCTGTAATCTCAGCACTTTGGGAGGTTGAGGCGGGCGGATCATCTGAGGTCTGGAGTTCGAGACCAGGCTGGCCAACTTGGTGAAACCCAGTCTCTACTAAAAATACAAAAATTAGCCGGGCATGGTGGGTACTTGTAATCTCAACTACTCTAGAGGCTGAGGCAGGAGAGAACTGCTTGAACCCAGAAGGCAGAGGTTGCAGTGAGCTGAGATTGCGCCACTGCATTCCAGCCTGGGTAAAAGAGTGAGATCCTGTCTCAAAAACAAAACTAACAAGGATATCCAGGACTTGAACCCAGATATGGACCAAGTGGACCTAACAGACATCTACAGAACTCTCCACCCGAAATCCACAGAATATACATTCTTCTTAGCACCACATTGCACTTACTCTAAAATTTACCACATAATTGGAAGTAAATCACTCCTCAGCAAATGCAAAAGAACGGAAATCATAACAAACAGTCTCTCAGACCACAGTGCAATCAAATTAGAACTCAGGATTAAGAAACTCACTTAAAACCACACAACTACATGGAAACTGAACAACCTGTTCCTGAATGACTACTGGACAAATAGTGAAATGAAGGCAGAAATAAAGATGTTTTTCAAAACCAATGAGAATGAAGATACAATGTACCCAAATCTCTGTAACACATTTAAAGCAGTGTCTAGAGAGAAATTTGTAGCACTAAATTCCCACAGGAGAAGGGAGGAAAGATCTAAACTCGACACCCTATTGTCACAATTAAAAGAGCTAGAGGAGCAAGATCAAACAAATTCAAAAGGTAGCAGAAGACAAGAAATAACTAAGATCAGAGCAGAAATGAAGGAGATAGAGACACAAAAATCCTTTCAAAAATAAATCAATGAATCCAGGAGATGGTTTTTTGAAAAGATCAATGAAATAGACAGACAGCCAGACTAATAAAAAAAAATGAAGAATCAAATAGATGCAATAAAAAATGATAAAGGGGATATCACCAGTGATTCCACAGAAATGCAAATTACCATCACAGAATACTACAAACACCTCTATGCACACAAACCAGTAAATCTAGAAGAAATGGATAAATTCCTGGACATTTACACCCTCCCAAGACTAAATCAGGAAGAAGTTGAAACCCTGAATAGACCAGTAACAAGGGCTGAAGTTGAGGCAGCAATTAATAGCCTACCAACGAGAAAAAGTCCAGGACCAGAAGCGGGGGTCACGGCCAAATTCTACCAGATGTACAAAGAGGAGCTGGTACCATTCCTTCTGAAACTATACCAAACAATACAAAAAGAGGAAATCCTCCCTAAATCATTTTATGAGACCAACATCATCCTGATACCAAAACCTGGCAGAGACACAACTAAAAATGAAAATTTCAGGCTAATATCCTTGATGAACATTGATGCAAAAATCCTCAACAAAATACTGGCAAACCGAATCCAACAGCACATCAGAAAGCTTATCCATCACGATCAAGTAGGCTTCATCCCAGGGATGCAAGGCTGGTTCAACATATGCAAATCCATAAACGTAATCCAGCACATAAACAGAACCAAAGACAAAAACCACATGATTATCTCAATAGATGCAGAAAAGGACTTCGAAAAAATTCAACAGCCCTTTATGCTAAAAACTCTAAACTAGGTATTGGTGGAACGTATCTCAAAATAATAAAAGCTATTTATGACAAACCCACAGCCAATATCATACTGAATGGGCAAAAACTGGAAGTATTTCCTTTGAAAACTGGCACTAGACAAGGGTTCCCTCTCTCACCACTCCTATTCAATATAGTATTGGAAGTCCTGGCCAGAGGAATCAGGCAAGAAAAAGAAATAAAGCGTATTCAATTAGGAAAAGAAGAACTCAAATTGTCTCTATTTGCAGATGACATGACTGTATATTTAGAAGACCCCATCGTCTCAGCCCAAAATCTCCTTAAACTGATAAGTAACTTCAGCAAAGTCTCAGGATACAAAATCAATGTGCAAAAATCACAAGTATTCGTATACACTAATAACAAACAGAGAGCCAAATCATGAGAGAACTCCCATTCACAATTGCTACAAAAAGAATAAAATACCTAGGAATACAACTAATGAGGGATGTGAAGGACCCCTTCAGGGAGAATTACAAACCACTGGTCAACGAAATAAGAGAGGACACAAACAGATGGAAAAACATTCCATGATCATGGTTAGGAAGAATCAGCATCATGAAAATGACCATACTGCCCAAAGTAATTTATAGATTCAATGCTATCCCTATCAAACTACCACTGATCTTCATCACGTAACTGGAAGAAAACCACCTTAAACTTCATATGGAACCAAAAAAGAACCCGAATAGCTAAGACAATCCTAAGCAAACAAACAAACAAACAAAAAACCCAAAGCTGGAGGCATCATACTACCTGACTACTACAAGGCTACCGTAATCAAAACAGCATGGTACTGGTACCACCACAGAGACATAGACCAATGGAACAGAACAGAGCCTCGGAAGTAATGTCACACACCTACAACCATCTGATCTTTGACAAACCTGACAAAAACAAGCAATGGGGAAAGGATTCTGTTTAATAAATGGTGTTGGGAAAACTGGCTAGCCATGTGTGCAGAAAGCTGAAACTGGACCCCTTCCTTATACCTTATACAAAAGTTAACTCCAGATGGATTTAAAGATTTAAACATAAGACCTAATATCATNAAAAAAAAAAAAAAAAGACCCTAGAAGAATACCTAGGCAAAACCATTCAGGACATAGGCATAAGCACAGACTTCATGACTAACAAACCAGAAGCAATGGCAACAAAAGCCAAAACAGACATATAGGATCTAATTAAACTTAAGAGCTTCTGCGCAGCAAAGGAAACAATCATCAGAGTGAACTGGCAATCAACAGAATGGGAAAAAATTTCTGCAATTTACCCATCTGACAAAGGGCTAATATCCAGAATCTACAAAGACCTTAAACAAATTTACAAGAAAAAACCCCATCAAAAAGTAGGCAAAGGATATGAACAGACACTTCTCAAAAGAAGACATTTATGCAGCCAACAAACATTATGAAAAAATGCGGCCAGGCGCAGTGGCTCACGCCTATAATCCCAGCACTTTGGGAGGCTGAGGTAGGTGGATCACGAGGTCAAGAGATCGAGACCATCCTGGTCAAGATGGTGAAACCTCGTCTCTATTAAAAATACAAAAATTAGCTGCGCATGGTGATGCGCGCGTGTAGTCCCAGCTACTTGGGAGGCTGAGGCAGGAGAATTGCTTGAACCCAGGAGGCGGAGGTAGCG